CAGCTTTCAGCCTTACCAGAAGGAAAAGGCTTGAGAGTGTAAGATTATTTCAACATGTAATGTGAAGCTTTGACATCCCCCAAAGTACAACTGATGGTTATTAACCAGCTTCTCCATTTATTCAGCTCACTCAAAGAGCAGTTGATGTTTTGGAGCTGCGTGACCATCAGCCATTCATCAAACCTTATTTCAGCACTGGCCATGATAGCTCAGCCATGAGAAGTATTATGAGCTGCTTCATTTAAAAAGAGGGACAATGATTTTACATCTTCTTGCTATGTATTCAACTTGAAAGGAGATTACAAGATGAAATCTGTGTTCACAGACAATCTATGATGAGTATTATAATATACTCAGTTACAAAGCACACAGTTAAATGAATAAGTCACTGTTGCTGTTGCAATTGGTATTTGATAAATGGCAATACTGAAGGTATACTTCAAACAAAGTAATTGTTTATTGTTTAATGCTCTATATCCATCACTGTAGCATTCAAGAAAGTATCATGATGTGTTTTTTCAGGTGATGTTGCTCTAAACTGCAAAATCTACAACTGAGCTCAAAATGATGAAATGAAATAAAAAGTGAGCAAGCCAAGCCAAGATGTGTTTTTCAAATGTGAACTAAATATTATCACAAAAAGCAGATTTTTTTGGCGATTCAGGATACCATCTTGTAGCAGAGATCCTACTGACAGGACTCTTTTCTCACTTCCTTTATAAATATTGTGGGTATTCCAGATCAACTCTATTAAGCATTTCTCCCCTTGCCATCTAACATCATAAATTCTTACTACATACAATCTTTTCTGACCATTCAGAGCCAACCCTTTCCTTTTCTTAAGCCGTCAGCTCTTGTTACAGGATACTAGGTCCTCTGTTCATTTTCAGGTTCTGCTCACAGGAGTCTCTGAGAATCACAGCTATTTATTTTTTTAGCAAAAGGGACACCCCAACCCTGCATTTGGAAGCATTGCACCATTTAGGCATGTTTCCACAGCAACACTGTGTTTATTTTAAGTTGTATCACGAGAAAAGAAGGGAGGCTGCCATCCATCCACCCACTTACCATCTCCCTCTAGACATTCTGTCCTTTTGTATTTTACATCATTTAACTAGTGGGCTTTCCCTGGTTGGAAAAAGAAAAACAAACCCAACACCAGAACAGTTAGTATGTACTTTGTTGTGACATCATTCTGGGCAAATCCTTGGTGAAAGCTCAACCGCAGGTATTGATTGAGTTATCCCATGGATTGCATAAGCAGAAAAGCATACTGCTTCCTTGTCCAGCTGGGGCAACACTGAATAAAATTAAGCCAAGTCAGAGTTCGAGGTTGAAGATCTTTCCAAATGTCTAGACATGTACTGATTATACTGAACTTTCAGCTCAGTGTAGCCCAATAGAGCCCATTGCCACAGTACTATTTCCACACAGCACAACCTGGTAGGTGCAAATTGCTTCATTTCAGAGGATTTTACACTTCCCTGTCCCAATGTAGCAGATATAAAATCACGCTTCTCCAAGAAATTAGCCAAGAAACTATCCAAACAATACAAATGTTGAGATTCCTGGTCAAGTTTCCTAACTACCCCAATTAGCATCCATCCTCTATTTTGATGCTCTTGGTTAACTTCTTGTCTTTGAACTTCTACTCTATGAGACATACTTTTACTGATCCCCTTCAAATGTCTACTTGTTGGCCTACTAAACTTTAAGACTGTGGCTTTATAGCTGTAAAGTTCAACAGCAGGCTAAACACAGCCTTGTATTCAGCATAAGCAGGCACTGTCATATTTAATAGAAGATGAGTAGTGGGAGCTGTGGCAGGTTTGCCTAATAAACACCCTCTGGTTTCTTCAGCTTTCCTCATCTTTCCAAACAGAAAGCCCTAGAGCAGGATAAGGCTTTGTACCAAGCACTGCTGAGCTGCAGAGGGGGAGAGGCATGAGCAAGCAGAGGGAGCTAGTTGGGATGCCATTTTACAGGCTCTATTCTTGCTATCTGTGATAACTGCTGATTTCATTGCAGAGATCATTTACGAAAAGGAAGCGAGCCGTTCACCTTTTTTGCCCATTGATGCCAAATTTTCTTATTATTAATTTATCAATCACAGCATGTTTTATACTAAAATTACGAGTGTCATAATATTGCTGTTGCTAAACATATGCCAAGCCTCCTTACCATAAAAAACCCTCACTGACCCACCACTAAAGCTTAATTTTAAATTTATTTGTGAATGACTGTGGGCACTGAAACTCACTCTATTTCTCTCTCTTTATGTGAGGAGCCCAGGACCTTAAAGCAGAAATTTTATTTGTGTAGTAAAAGTGTGTCTCATTAATGTGGCTTGGTGTTTATATATCCATTGGCAGAGCTGCACCTTAGCTAAAACCTTTGAAATGGAATGTACAGCAGCAGAGAAAATTCTGATTTAAGGAAGCTGAATGTATTCATAATATGATATCCTCATCTATTTGAAATTTTATTTTTAAACACTTTTCCCATTCTTCTCTCATACTGCACAAACTGTGATAAAATACTTTGGTGATAAGTTATACTGATTTTTTTTTTTAATGGAACTTGACTGAGTTAATTTTTATCTCAAGTATAAGCCTAATGTAATGCAAATAAATACCTCCACAGGCTTCACTGGACCAACATATAGGCAAAATTTGCTGAAGGAAGACACAGAATACACATAGAGTACTCCCTGGAAAGGGTTAAATTAAAGCAGCAGATTGTTTATTGTGCATGAGAAGGAAGAAGGAAAGGTTCAGGTAGCATCCAGTATTTTATGTCAGGGAGAGGTAGATGATCGCACACCTCTTGCCCTCTGCTATTACAAAAAAATCCCACTCCTAAACTCAGATATGTTTAAATACTTTGAAAAGGGCTACTATATAACTGGCCACGTGGGAAAGAAGTGGGAATTTAGGCAGGTAATGAGTTGCCTGAGAAAGAAAGCAAGAGACTGTGCCTTTCTTACCAGACAGGGAAACCAGAGAAACATGTCCCATTACAGTGAATAATCATTAGCAATATTAATCTGGTAATAATTTAATAGTATTCTCTTGAAAAAGGTAGGAAATAATTAGAATTTAGAAGTATTACTATCTCGTATGCTAATACTAAAAAAACAGTAGCAAACAGTGAATTTATAATGACTCTCTAAGATGCTGCATTTCTGCTGCATGGGAGTGATTTGTATGCAAAATCTGTGATAAGCATGGCAAGAGAAACACTGTTGGTGAACAATAATTTTCAGTTTGGTTAAAGCGTCAAAAGACAGAAATAAGACAGTTAATACAAAAATGTGCAATCCTTCAGAGCATCTTTATCTTCTCTCATTTTACTGTCTACCTCTGAGGGTTCAGCTCACACTCAGCTCTGCTTTCATATTGCTGTGACTACACTGGCTGCTGTGACTACACTGGTGAAATTACACCAAACACGAACTTGCTTCTTGCTGCCATCCAAAATAAATCGCCATCCTCCTTTCACTCTAGGATTTCACGGGCTTGGATAGAAAGCAGGGTCATTGCAGAATGGAGGTATTGGCTTCTTAGAACCCTGCATCTCCTTGTTACTGAAAGTCTGGGAGGATTTCCTGTGAGAAACCATCATTACAAAACTCGCTGCAATCTGCTTAGTTCCCACAGAGGATAAAAATTATACAGTCAGAGGGAATAATCTTTTCTAATACTATCCTGTCTTGAAACTCCCATTTCCAGTTAAAACAGTGAAAAGCTGACAGCTGAGTGTCTGCTACAGAACTATCTGATCTCTCCTGACAGCTTCTCACTCAGATTATTGTCCCCAGAGGGCGGTGAGGAGATGAAGACCTCTGTCTCTTCCCAGGAGAAGGAACAAAGGGTGAACTAATGATGCTGGGGTCACTCAGTTCCTCCTATGCCTCTTTATGTGCTCAGGACACAAAGCTCTGCAGCTGACGAAGTCACATGAAGTCTGGCTCCTCTTTTCGTTGTGAGAAAGCAGGCGCATCTCCTCTCTGACTGCTCTGAAATGTTTCCACTAGGAACAGTCCTATCGTCATCCTTTTAGTGTGCAGCACAGCTATTGAGGAACATTATGAGATGAGGTGGGCTGCTGTGACAATAATACCTTCTGCAGCTTTTTATGTCTTATATCCCACATCGGAGTCATTGCCTCCCAAGCATCTCTAGCACAGAGAATCATAGAATGGTTGGGGTCTTGAAAGGGACCTTAAAGATCATCAAGTTCCAATCCCGTTATGGTAGAAGCTGGAGAACTGACTATGTATTTGCTTTAGCACACCTGAAGTCTACAAAAAAAAGAAGCTGGGAGGACTTGTTTCTCAGACTGTGACCTGTTCAGAAAGCATTACCCTGGCAACTCTCACAGAGGAAACCAGGAAGTTTTCCATAGTCAAATCCAATGATTATATCGGGAAGAACAGAAAATCTCTTTCTGTTGTAAGCAGATCTATGTCATGTCTACAACCATACCCACTATGAAATAAAATAAGAGGTGGATGGCCTTCCTTAGTTCTTGTGAAGGTAAATGTAGTAAGATTGGCCAGGACTTACTCAATATGAAAATCACACCCCTTCTAATTAGAATGAAAACTTTATTTTCCAAGCTGTCACGAGTAGAAATATTTTTGAAACACTCAGCAAACCCCACTACAAAACTGAATTTGCTACTCAAAATGAAAATCCCAGCAGCTCCGTCACTTGACCACGCACAGCGTCTTCTTTTCTTCCCTCCCTCCTTCCCCTGTGTCACCTCTTCCAGAAGAACAGCTCTGACGGGGAGTTCCAGAGGGCGGAGGACGAGATGTCTAATGCTGGACCTTCCCCGGCGGGCCGGTCCAGGGGGGCGGCAGGGGGTGGCAGCGCCGTGTCCGGCAGCGGGAGCGACACTGAGAGCGGTGCTTGGGACCGCCCCGGCGCCCATTGGCTCGGCGGCTCCCTAAGGGGCTCGGCGCGGCTCCATAAAGGCAGCCCGTCCGCCCGTCCGTCCGCCTGTCCCCGCCCGGCCATGCCCTCGCCACCGCCCGCCCTCCCCTTGCTCCTGGCCGCCTGCTGCCTCTGCGCCCTCCCGCGGGGCTCAGGTACGTCCCGGCACCGGGAGGGGCGAACGCGGCAGAACCCCGAAACACTGAAAGGGTTGTCTCCCCTTGAGGGGCGCCATCGGGGCTGGGCTCCGCGGCGTCCCAACGCTGCCGTGTCCCCGCAGGGTTCCCGCAGCCTTTCTCGCGCTACCGGGACGGTGTGTTGGAGCTGCCCCAAAACCAGGTACGTCTGTCGCTGCCGCCTGACAGCTATGCGCGGTGGACAGGTAGAGAGACGGTGCAACCCGGGATGGGTTGGCCGGGGGAGGTGGGAATCGAGACTCGCCCGTGGCAGGGAAATGAGGAAGGAAATCGGCAACGGACTGGGAATATACCTTATGAAATCCCTGGGAGAGGAGGGAGGCTGGCGCCCTTTGCTGCCCGCAGAGGTAGGTGGGACAGGTATGGGCAGGGGTGTGATCTGCAGCATCAGGGTGCAGAATAGGATACCTGGGTAACCAAAAGCCGGACAGACTAATAACCAGTCAGTCCTGACTCCCCGAGTGAAAACACAGATCCTAAGGCATGATAGACACACTGCTAATGTCTAATCTTTACTTTTTAAAGCAACTGGCACTGTGTTTCAGTCAGTGGATGGAAATGTCCAATGAACCCCAGGTAAATTGACTCTGGTAATGTGTTTGATCTCTCTTCCAGATATAGTAATTGTCCTCTATATCCCAGAGCACCGACGTCTGCCAGAGAGCCAGAGGCTCTGGAGAGCAGGGCGAGTTTGCTAGTGTATGTGCTCTCCTCCCTGCGGAGCTAATGCAGACCTAGAGAAAGAAGAAAAAAAAAAGTGTTTTTCTTGCCATCCCAGTAGTAGCTAACACCGAAACAAGAGGTGCCGGACAGTGTTGAAGGAGTTATAGGTCCTGCCTGGTCCCCTTGGTGCTTGGTGGGTTGATGGGTTTTCTTTGGGGTGCTCAGAGGAGAAGGGAGCGAGACGAAATTTTCACATCTCATTTCTGCTCTAGCGTTTCTGGCCCAGAACTTGCAAACACTTCTGGGGAAAAAAAAAAAAAAAAAACCACCAAAAAAACCCAAAAACAAAACCAAAAACAAATCAGTATCTGAAAGCTCAGCCCCACTGCATTTGATATCGAGCCCAAGTGTCATTTTCAAAGAGGATCAGGAAGTACCTGGAAATTTTAAACATTTTGTGCTGATTTTTTCTTTCTGAAATGTTTTGGTTTTGTAAACCAAAACTTAAGGAAAACAGTTCCCAGAGTCTATTGTTCAGGTGTCTTACACTTCACTTCCTTTGGAGCTGTAGTTATTTCTCATCTAATGGGATTGCATGCATAAGCAAACCCCTGTCCTGTGGCAATGAGTGTGGGACAGCGTATTTCAGTATTCAGTTAAAGGTTATAGAATTGATTGGCTGAAATGCTTGTAGATGAAAATGAGCATAGATTAAAAATGCTCAAACCCAAAGCTATTCCTAGAACAATTAGCATAGAAAAATGTATTTTAAATATAAGAGGTTGATTTAGATCTCTTTATAGCACAAGACTGTATTAACATCAGTAGTATTGTGTGTATTCTCTTAATACAAAATACTAGTTTTTCAGCTCATATTAGCATCAAATGATCAAAAGATGCATCAAGTAGCATCTTTCCCTGCTCTGAATGTTTTTAGTGAATCTAAATTGTGCTGGGATCAGAATCAAGCCTGGAGAAGAGGAGGCTGAGGGGAGACTTCATTGCAGTCTACAGTTTCCCCATGAGGGAAAGAAGAGGGGGGTAGACACTGATCTCTGTGGTGACCAGTGACAGGGCCTGAAGGAATGGCCTGAAGTTGTGCCAGGGGAGGTTTAGGTTGGATATTAGAATAAGGTTCTTCACCCAGAGGGTGTTTGGGCACTGGAACAGGCTCCCCAGGGAAGTGGTCACAGCATCAAGCCTGACAGAATTCAAGAAGCATTTGGTCAGTGCTCTCAGGCACATGATGTGATTCTGGAGGTGTCCTGAGTAAGGCCAGGAGTTGGACTCGATGATCCTTGTGGGTCCCTTCCAACTTGGCATATTCTGTGATTCTGTGAAATCTTGTACACCACATCCTTCCAGTAAATGTATTAAAGCACTGTTTGTTTGGTTTTTTTTTTCCAGATCTCCAGCAGTGTTTTGGATCTCTGTTATTCCATATTCAAGAGCATGCATAAAAATGAGGTAGGCTGTAATTGCTTTTGTTTCAAAGCACCCCCTCCTTAAATTCAAAAAGCAACCTCTCCAAAACCACCTTTTTGGCATTTCTTTCCAGACAAATGTATGATCTAATATTGTCATGGTTTAAGAGATGTAGGAGAGTATATAAAAGATTATTTCTAATTAGTAGTTTGTATGTAATTCTGAACTACATTAAACTACATATGAAATTGTTGTTTTTCACCAGTTCAGAGATCAACAACCAAAACATTCTCTTACAGTCAGTCAGTATTTAAACCTGACTGTCACTTTTTAATAATACAGAGTTAAATATGCTAAAAATATGCATAACATTGGAACAATAGCATAACTTAGATCATGCTGAACATGGAGGTGTATGATTTGCTTTACCAATTTTAATAGTCTATTTGAGCTTCAGGGTTTTTTTGTGTTTCTGACTCAGATTGAAAAGATTAAGTTGAGGAATTATTGAGTATAGCTTTTTCACTGGTGCAGCTCAGTGTCAACTCTGCTTTATATCACTTTTTTATTGTCACCACTCTATTAAGAACCTTTCCCATAAAATTCACTCAGCCCCTGGGTATGTTAAAAAGGCCAATTTACTTGTGGAGTTTGAGTTCTTTGTTGTCTCCAAACAGGAGTAGATTGTTCAAGACAAAAATAGAAAGTATTTTGACATGTGTTTCAATATCTCTTCTTGCCAGTGTCTTTAGCTTATTATAATTCCAAGCATACCTTCCTAAAGTAACCAAAAAACTCTATCATATTGAACTTGATTGTATAAAAAATTCTAATATTTCAGTCTAATAAATGTTTTTGAGTTTGGTATTGACTCCTATGCTTCCACAGCTTAGCTAATGAGGGAACATCCAGAATCATCTGGTAACTTTGAACAGAGTCCTATTCCTGGTTACTATTTCAGTGAATTCAAAAAATTCACTCTCTGTTATGTGCCCTCAAAATTGGGAGCTAAATCTTGTACAATATCCTTTCAAAAATATGACTAATATCAGCTATATATCTGCAGTATTATTTCTAGGTGTGGTCTAAGTAAAGTGGAAGATTGAATATAAATGTGAAATATGGAAAAAGAACTATGTAAAGTTTTACTCAGCTGATCAAATCTATTACATGAAGTTGTACTTTCTTAGCCCACAAGGAATCTTGAGAAGACACTACAAACATGAGTCTATATGTTGGGCACCCAATGAAACAGTTATGAAATCCTACTGATTTCAGCTGAACTTCAGCTTTCAACATTATACCATATTTCTGTGAATTAAAAAAATTACTCAGAGTTATAGATCATGTAGAGAAGGTAGAGGGTGTTTCAAGAGAAGGAATGAGGCCTAAGCATTATGAAAGGCAAAGTCAGTGGCAATTTTGGCATTAATGGGACTTGAACTCCACCTGGGGAACTCAAAATATTTTGTGAGACCTAAGACTATTTAACATCAATGTCTAATGACACTTACAAAGAAAACAAAAAGAGCTATCTAAACCTAGCCACATCACAATCACCTCACTGAGCATTTGCCTAAAGTCGAGCCAACACACTATTTAGAAGCTCAGTTTTTACCATGTTTCTTCCACATAGTAATCTCTTACTATTATAAATTACCTAGGATAGTTGACACTGCAGGCTAAGCCTTGATTCAGTCTCTATCTTTGCTTGGTATGTAATAATCATATTAGAACAAAGGTAGCATTCACACTGTTTCTTTGATGTGGTCTCCTCCTTTGCATCCTTAAAGCTTGATTGAGCAGGTGCTTTTTTCTTCCATCACATTTTATAGCCCTGTAAGTTGATGTCAGTTGCTCTATAAATTGTCTTGAGGTTTAAACCAAAGAAATCCTCTTCTCATACCCCAGCTGAGTGATCCTTGTGGGTCCCTTCCAACTCAGCATATTCTGTGATTCTTTGAATCGTGATTCCCTCCTTTTTGCTTCTATATTTTGTCTTTTAAAATTCCTTCTCTCTGGTTTCCCATCTGCATGTTTTAGTGTTTTCACCCCCTTCTTCATGTCCTTGTTCATTATATGTGCTTGTTTTCAAGTCCACCCCAAGTAACTAAACCCATTCACTGATACAAGTGTGCCTATGGCACACAAAGCCATCCCATTCCTGGCTAGCTGTGAGCATGCAGCCTGGCAGCCCTGTCATGGGCAGGATGGCTCTCAAACCAGGCTGCAAGTTCAGGGCTGTGTTACATGAGGAGCTTAGTCTGCTCACAGGAAGTCATGGGGAAAGTTTCTATTCCTTGATGTAAGGCTGAGTAGAAAAATGAGCAATTTTCTGAAGAATAAAGATTTAGAGGAAGACTTGAAACCAGCAATCATTCTTGGGTTAAAACCAAGGGCAGTTGGAAAGGTGAAGAGCAGCCACATTTTAACAAGGTAAGAGCTATCAGTACAATTCAAGCCTGAGGAGTACAGCTGCTGCATTTGCTCCAGGGTGAGCTCTGCTTCCCCTACCAGAGCACGGCTGCTCTTTGCTGTACAGCGAGGGAAGCACATTGAATGATGGTAATGAATGCAGTAACATTGATTAAGGTAAGGCTTCAAATCAATCTTTAAAAAGATCCATTTGCTGCTGTTCCAATATCTGTGGTAAGTGTAAGGTTATCTCTCTTCTCACGTGGAGTGCACCAGCCTCATCAGTAACAGGGTGTCTGTACCAAACCAAACAAATGCTGGCATGTTGATTAACTTACCCTGTCTGCTTGCAGGAATCACAGATTGCTTCTGCAAAGTTTACAAAGAAGGTATGTAAATGTGAAGACAAGCAAGTAGCAGTGGGCAGGGATGTATGTCCCTTTCCTTGCTTCTTGCTGCTTTTTTTAGGTCAGCTTGGGGTTTTCTTCAGTGGTTGGGAAGTGATCTGTGCTGACTCTGCTTATACCTATCCTGTGTGTAAAGATTTCTTTTATACCTTTTCTAAACACTGTGAACCTTTAATTTTGGTAATTTAGTATATTTACACTGGACGGAATGGATAGTTCTTGATAATGCCCTTTGGGCATTAATTTTTAATCAGCATTCCAGATGAATGGGCATTGGGGACTGTAAACATCTTGTTTGCATGCTGCTGAAAAAGGCCTGAATTATCAATATTCTGATAGAACGATACCAAAATTTGTCAACAGATCTATTGAACTGAGTTTGAAGTATTTTGTTGTTGTTTATGTTTTATTTTACAGGACAGTCGTGGGACTCTGGGACGGCCTTTTTTCCTTTTCAGGGTATCCGAATCTCTTATCTTTTAAAGATTCTGAATCACAGAAAATGTTATATGTCCATATAACAGGAAAGCTGTTTCCCTTCACAAATTCTTGCTGCAGTTGTTTTGAGTAGAGGTCAAATATCCCTTGCCTGAATGCTTAGGGAGTATTAGCTTAAAAAGCTCTGATTTGACTAAAAGACAACAAGATAATGAGATCTTGGGTAGTAATGGATTACGCACATTTTTTTTGTTTGAAGATATGCTGCTGCAAATGTTTTATCTTGAGCCAAATCATCCATGTGGCTTATATCTCCAAGACCGTCAAGGTGCACTGATGCTAAACACATGAGATAAAATGTGCCTGAGCTGACTGTCTGAAAGGTCTGGCCAGTAAGCAATGTCCCACTGCATAACAGGGTGGAAAGCCAAAGCAAAATTATCATAATTTCTCTCATGTTTTTCACCCAGTGGCTTGCTGAGCTATGACACACTGATGCCAACTGAGCTGGTTTAGATACACTCTGATTAACATAAAACTAACTTCTAGGAATGTCTTCAACATATTTAAAAAAATTAAAAATATTATCAAGTAGGTCATATCAGGTAAGCAGAATCCCAATTAACTGTCATTTGCATTTTAGCTTACTTTAAGTGTGTCCAGCCAGGTTCTCTCAGTGCTGGTATTTGTATATTCTTTCTTAGGCATGTGCAATTCCCCAAGGAATTATTCTCATTCCCTGAATGAGAATAATTAAAGCCAGACTTTTTAGCTATTTGGACAGAGGCTGAATGAATGTTTCTCATATTCAAAGGCACAACCCACGCTGCATGGATCCCCTGATATTTGATAAAGGAAATCTTACTGCAGTCTTCTTATACAGTAATCTGTCTGCATGATGGTGATGTATTTTGATGTGCTTATAAATCAAGTACCTAATACTTCTGCACAATCCTCTAATTAATATATTTTTCAGCCTCGAAATGGAAGAACTATCAAAGGCAGTGGTAAGTGGACATCCAAAAGTGACAAGAATTTGTTCTGATTTTTTCAATAATGATGATCCTCATGACAGAAGGAGTTACTGAGAGGCATTACAAACCTAGTACAAACCTAGATACACACGTGGATGTTTCATATGGTCACTAGGAGATGTCTTGACAGAAATGTGATTTTTAAGGCTCAGGGCCTTAGAGCGTACTCTCTTGACAAAGGGATTGTTTTCTTGTCTCTTTAAGGTTCAGTAAGGAGGAACTTTCATCCTCTGCAAAATGATAGAAATGGTACAGAAGCTGTAAAGTTTAAAGACAGAGGGTGTAAGTGATACTTGAAACACAGAAGCTAGACTTTTTTTGTTCAAAGCTACCTTCAGTCACCTAATCCTACAGGAGATCTCCTAACACTAAATCTGTACATGCAGATGGGAGTCCTCACATCATAATTAGGACCTTTTTGAGGGTAAACATTCTCTATAAAGAGCAGGGCTGGGGATGTAAGGGAGGAAGAAAATGAGATCTAATAATATCACCAAACACTTACATAATCCATCTCTGAAAGTATCTACTAAAGATCTAAGCGAGCTTTACTGGGAAATGGACAATATAGTGTACATGTATAGTATAGGGTACATGTGTACCCTCTTTCAGTCTCTTTTCTTGCAGTCTTTTATCCCACAAGAAAAGATCACCATTTTTGTTTGCAATCTAAAAGTTATTTCCAGCTGTTGACTGAAAGGGGCTTTGGTTGGTTTTTCTTTCGTTTTAGTTTGGGGTTTATTTGTTGTTGTTGTTTTGGGGTTTTGTCTGTTTGTTTGGGTTTTTTATGATAAAACCTGCAAAAACTCCACTAGTAAAGAATACCCTTGCTATATATTCAGGATTAAACTGTTTTGGAAAGAAAGGAACCAAAGATTTGAGAGAGTGTTGTAGAGCAACATTGTTACTTACTTTCTCTAGTCTTAGCCACTGCCCTGGGCAATCTGTTGCTTCTCATAGATGAGAGGAACATGAGGAATTAGAGAGATCTCTAGTTTGAGCTGGTGCAGCTGTTCTTCTTGTTAGGTCCACATGCGTGTGGGAAATGTTTCATAGCTCAGTAACATGTTGGTGCAGAAGCCACTACTCTACAGTCATGTCCTAGCCTAACATACAGCAGTAAATTTTATCCACAGCTCAGCCTCCTGAGCCAACCTGGCTGCAAGATGCACTCCATGCTTCCATACTCTAAAAGAAGGTCAGCAGAGTTAGAACATGGAGAAGAGAAGAACTGTGTGAGGAGGGAGGATTCATGTTCGAGTACAAATAACAGATTTGGGCACTTGACTGAACTTTCAGACATCTGAATCTTCTGGTATTAGAATTTGAAGCTATTTATTTTCTAACTTTGAGAAGGACTAGAAGTGAAACTAAGTCATATTCATCTCAACATAAAATATGACACTGTTTTAATTTGTTTCAGAATACCATGGAATATGAAGTTCATGGGTTGATTTACCAGCTTGATGACTTGATTTACATAAAGAAAGGAGACTTCCCATTGCACTGGTTGTCTGTTATGTGACTCAGTTGAATTTGCTGTTCCACGTAATAAATTTGCAATCATTAATTCTTCTTGTTGTCCCTTATTTACTGAAGCCTGTCCTAGACTTCCTTGGGCTATAGTGTAGCATTGCCTGGTGCCAGCTGTAATCAAAGGAAAGCAGTCATCTCAATATCAACAATTTTCAAAACCAACAGTGCATTTTATAATATCTTCTTTAGTAGGGTCATAAACTGCAAGCTTGTCCTTTTGACTAGATAATGTATTTCCCCAGAATTTCAGAGTATGCTTCCTGAACAACATGGTATTAAAATCATCGTGGACATTTTAATGATTTATTTCTTATTTTGAATAACTAAGGGCTTGAGTGTGATGACTGATGAATCCAAAGCACTTTGAAAGAAAGGGGAATAAGAACTGCTGCTGCACACAGACATTATTTGATCAGATGATGTATTTTTTTTTCAGCCTTGCCTTATTGGCTGTCGTAAAGCACAAATGAGGCACTTTTGAGAAATATTCTGAACATCTGCCCTTTTTCTCTGAAATCATGCATTTAAACCTGTGGTGCAGCCAGTTGTGCTTGCACTGCATGGAGTGTTTTGGTAGGTGGAGACATTTATGGGCACAAAACTTCAAGTACTAAGCAGTTACTTCTTTAGGAAGAAAAGAGCATAATATAAGCCAGAGTCTGGGGATACAAACAAGGCTGTAATTCCTGAACACAGCATTGGCTTCCTCAAGCCCTTTGTTAACCTTCCTTTTCCTCTTTGGCTACTCAGTCATAGTACCATGGCATAATACCCCTCTCAGTTAAACTGGCACAGCCACACGTGAACTGGATTGGGAGACAGCTTTGTCTTTAAAAACAAACCCTGAGAAACCTGTATTTTGTTGTTTTGTGGGGTGTTTTTTAGGGGTTTTTAACTGGACAAGTTCCCAATTTTGGGCTGTATTAACACAAGTTTGGCTGGTAGGTAGAGGGAGGTGATGAGTTATTTGGCAATTGTTAGGCCACATCTAGGGTGGATTGTTCAGTTTTGGGCCCCACAATACAGGAACGGCATGGACAAACTGGAGGGAGCTCATGGAGGGCCTCCAAGGTGATGAGGACTGCATCACTTACCCCTGAGGAGGGGTAAGGTTCAGCCTGCAGGAGGGATGCCTTTAGGGCACCTAATAGACTTTCCAATGCCTATAAGGGTCATCAAGGAGACTGCTGGGCTGCTCACAGAGTGGGGTGGGAGAACAAGTAGCAACGGGCATAAGCAGAAGCAAGAGAGGTCAAAGTGTCCAAGCAGTTGTCCAGAGAGGTTGTACAGTCTTCAGTCCTTGGAGATTTTCAAGATCAGAGTAGACAAAACCTGGCCTGAATTCCTGCTTGGGATCAGACTAGAGACCTCCTGAGGTCCCTGCCAGCCTCAGTTATTCTGTGACACGAGTACAATTTTATGCTGTGTATTTCAGCCTCTAACAGGGTCAAGACCTGGCTGTATTATAGCTCCTGTGTCTCCATCTGGGCAGAGGGTGGGGTGGGGTTCCCAGAGAGGCTGGTCAGTTAAGGCCTATTTGTGCCCTCACAGCACCCTATTGCTGTTGTTCAGTGTGTTGTCAATTCCTGTTGGAAATTATTAGCCCTTGGAAAGACTTCCATAGGGATGCTGGCTCCTCTGGCTTCTCATGTATTTGGAGCCAGCTAGGGTATCCCTCTGGAAGAAACAACTAAGCCAAATATAAGTGGTGGAGGTGCACTGTGGTAATGCAAATAAATATGAGGTAATGATACAAAAGCACAGCAATGGCATTCCTGGCTTGTTTCATCTCAGAGGCCAAAGCTGAAGAGTATAACATTTTGGACAGTTCTGTATAAATATTTGTACTGGTTTTGGCTGGGATAGTGTTTTTTTCATAGCAGTTTTTATGGTGCTATGTTTTGGATCTGTGGCCAAAGCAGTGTCGATAACACAGTGATGTTTCAGCTATTGCTTAGCAGTGCTTGCACAACCTCAAGACTTGTTTCCCACACCACCGGCCATGAGGCTGGGGATGCACAAGGAGTTGGGAGGTGACACAGCAGGGACAGCTGACCCCAGCTGCCAAAGAGATATCCCAGACCATATGGAGTTGTGCTCTGCGACAGAGGCTGGGGGAAGGAGAAAGGGACACATACGCACGCATACACACACACATGTTCGATGGTGTTTGTCTTCCCAAGGCACAGTTAGGTGTGATGGAGCCCAGTTTTCCTGGAGATGGCCATGACTGCTGATGTGAAGCAGTGAATAAATTCCATGTTCTGCTTTGCTTTACCTCTTGAACTGTCTTTATCCCAGCCCATGACTTTTCTCACTTTTACACTTCAAATTCTCTCCCCTATCCTGCTGGAGGAAGCGATCAAGACAACTGAAGTTAAACAACATCAGTACTGTACCATGGGCAACTCATGCTATGCTCTCATAATCAGCAGTGGCTTTCTCCACCCACAAGAGATTTCAGAAATAACATCTATTGGGGCATTAAAATTGGTTAATAAGACTGATAGATGGGTGGTAATTTGCAGGTGAGAACCTAGCTTATGTTCCTCAGTCATTCCTGTAGCAACTGTGACTCCTCTGTAAAAAGCAGAGAAGAGCACTTGTTCACTGCTCAGTGCAAATCTTTGCTCACTGGAGCAATACAAATGTCACGTGTGAAACAGGAGAGATTAAAAATATTGAAATGTAAAGGTCATCCCTGGCCTCGAGCTCTGTGGACATCCCACTGCAAAATCCACAGCAGAAATTGAGGAGTGCAGACACAGGTGACAACAACAATTAGAGGCACAGAAATATTTCTGCAAAAAAAAAGAGGTGAAAGCTCAGTTCCCACTGTCAGCCAGAGAAGAGGCAAATCAAGAGTGACATGACAAGGTATACAAAGTAATGAGTGTGTTTAGAAGAGTAAATTGGGTGCTTATTCATTGGGTGCTATATCCATTCTCTGGTAATAAAAAACAGCAAGGAGAGACACTCAGTTACACTGAGAGGCAACACATTCCAGGTGCACAGGGGAATTTTTTTTCTCACAATCAACTCTTGAAACCAGTTGCCGCAGCTTAGAGCATGTGGTTAGAGCCTCTGTCGGCTCCCAGGAAGGCAGGTATGTTCAGGAGTGCACACTTTCATGCTGCCTAACTTGACTTGAAAATCACTTCATGCTGGCCCAGGACCTTAAAAGCCTGTCGTGGTGGAGCTGGGCTCAGCAAGGCATTGCTCAGCAGAGCGCACAGCAAGGGACCTGGAAATGCAGTCACCAGTGGGGGAGCGAGTGCTGCTCAGCCTCACGACATGCCACTCACCACAGAGCCAGAGCACGAAGCACAAGAGCAAAGCCTTCTTGGTGTTTTATGTTACTCTGTCTGGTCCTTCATGATCTTGTGCCTTGGACAGCCTCACTCCCTTCTCAGCTCCCACAGGGAAGAGCTCACTAAATCTTCAGGTGATGGCAAGCTAGGGGGTATGGCACGCACTGGAGGACAGAGTCAGCATTCAGAATGGTCTTGGCAAAGACTCATATGGAAAAAAAATATGTACAGCTTACTAAGGATGAAAGGAAGTTATTACACATACTGAAGAAAAACCAATTGCACCTTTGCAGCAAAAGGAATGGGTAACTGTAGACAGTCAAATATCATAATGTTGCGGACAACACAAAAATACAATGTGGAATGAATAAGAAGCTGTAGGAACTATCATACAGGAGGTGCTGCACTGCTGACTACAGGTAAGGCTTCATGTACAGAGCAACACAGGAGAAGAAAGAGGGAAACCAACAGCAGAGAGGAAAGACAGAGGTCAAGGAAAGCTGGCACCCTGAATGAAGGGAGGTTGCTTTGCAAGAAGAAGAGTGTGAGGAGGGGAATGATAAAATGCTTCATTTTAAGCTCACCACTCCCAGCAGCATCCATCCACACCCATGACATCAGGGAATGAAGTGCTGACTGATAGGCAGTTACCTTTTCTTGGTCATAAAAATTTTCCAGGGGAACTGACACCTCACTTGGGCTCTTAAGTTACAAAAGTTCCAGCTCTGAAATAGCTGCAAGCAGCCTTTCCTCTTTTCAGTGTTATGTCATGGTGCAATGTTTATTCCTATGTTTCATTTGATGAAAGATTAGTGCCATTGTATTGTTGAACATAGAATAATAGAACCATTTGGGTTGGAAAAGATCTTTAAGATCATTGAGTCCAACTGTTAACCTAGTACCACCGTGTTCACCACTAAATGATGTCCCAGAATGCCACACCTACATGTCTTATAAATACCTCCAGGGATGGTAACTCAACCACTCGTTTGGGCAGCCTGTTCCCACACATGACAACCCTTTCAATGAAGAAATTTTTTCCTAATGTCTAGCATACTTCAGATAGAAATTGCTGTGGCTGCCTCTGGAGAAAAGGAAGTTTCAATCTTGGAGAGCCCAGCCCTTACACTTTACATACTTTTAATTCATGATAACACCTGTCACACTAACAGCTGTGAGAAATGCCCTTGACTCCCAGAGTTGCAGGGCAGTCCTGGGAAGGTTAGTGTCTTTGCTTCTGAAATGCTTGTGTAAAACAAGAGAAAAAAATCCCAGCATGGAAAAGGAAGCATATGGATTACAGGATCAATGGAAAAGCCCATTTGTGACCTGTGAACTGAACTCAAACTGGAGTCCTTTAAAAACACATAATTGGCAATGAGGGCTGACCAACGGCCAGTGAGGTAACTCCCATGTATGCATGACAGGCAATTCTGTCTAGGAACTAAAATCACATGAGCTGACTGCTTGTCTCATCTTCACAGCTGTCAGCAGGTAATGTGACAGAAGTAGCTGCAGAAATTGAAACTTTCACTGGAGATTAAAAACCATAGCCAGTTGGGCACAAGATATGTAACTGCCTGATAGATTGGCCAAAAGCTGCCAGCATCCCATTCGAGTTTCTCTAATGCATGTTAGGCTGTCGAATGAAGTCCAGATACAAGATGGATATGCTAATTATTCTAAACACAGCAATGAAATGTTTGTTTATTTGCTGGAATCTTAGAGTCGAGCAGTGATCCCAAAATATCTACTGGATGCTTATGTGGAGATCACTCTGAAGACTTATCTTACCTACCTGTTCCAGACAACTCACACATTGCAATTACCACCCCTCTACTTTATTAAACAGAGTAAAAACATATCTTTGACTGGGCTGCACTGCATAAACTGCCTTAATCTGTACAACTATCACTTTGACAGATTTCTGCATTGAACAACTAGAAGGAGCTGCTAAGTCTCCTCCAGTCATTTCAGGTTTTACTTTTTCCATGGTGCATAAACAAAAATATGACTGATCTTACAGCTGGTTCACCACCTAAATTTTGACATTTCTTTGGGGCAAAGAAGCTCATACACCAAACGCCATCTATCTATTAGCCTGCAATCTGCTGAAAGATCAGTACAGGAAGTCTGAATGTGAACGCACAGCAAACTTGAAAGAAAAATATTTTGCTTATCTTTACCACAAAGCTTCTGCACCCAGGAGTTTCTACACAGCAGTTCAGATAGTACCTGATGGATTACTGCATGGGGGAGATGAGTACGTATAAATACAGGCTTCAGGAGTATAGCTCTCTAAACATCAACCATAAAAATACCTAAACACGGACTAGAACTTCCAACAGAAAAGGCACAAATGCAGAATGCACATGAACAGACCTCAGAGCACAGACAGGCAGTGATGTGTGACCCATCATCAAAGAAGCAAAACCCAGCACCTCATTCAGTGTAGCATGAAGGTCATATTTCCTCTCAGGACCCCAGAGTGAACTGAGATGCTGCAACCACCCACGCTGTGGGGCAGCGTGAACTCTCCAGGGACTACACCACAGACACTGCTACATGATCAAACACCAAAACCAGCCTTTGATTATAACTTGGTGGTCTTATACCACATCTTTTCCTTCATTTTCACAGCTCTGTATAGTCTGCATAGTTCCACAGACTGTGTATAATCTCAAATATAATCCAAATTCACTATTTTGTGACTTGCAATGGAGCACTCACCTGCCGTCCAAGAGAACAAGGGTGTTTGGCAATTGCAATATTGGGACCGGTCAGCAGAGGGCAACGCCAAGACCAAATTTGGGATGGTCAAAGCAGAGGCACTCCCAGCCTTACCTCGCTGCACTGTGCGCTGGGCTTGATCCGCTCCCAGCTCCGGTAATGGATGAGTTCAGCATCCCTTGCCCTCACTATGACAAGACTCTCTGACGCCATAACTTGAAATGTTCCCTATCCTTACAAAGAAAGTGAAGGTGACAGAAGATATCAAGCTTATAAGCACACAAATTTCAGCTCAAAGTGAACTACAAGCACTCTGCCCAACTAAAACATCCGTCAATAGCACCAAGTCCTCTAGACAGATAAAAGAAGAAGAGCTTTTCCAGGCATCACTCCACCTCCATGCTTCCATCTGCCCACAACTTCATTGAATTGTAGAGCGCCACGTACGTGTATTTTCTAATGGGTGTTATTGAAAACATCTGTTTTCCTTGACGGACAGGTGTGCCCTGCCATAACTGAGTTAGGAAAGGAATGCTACATCAAGATAAACGTGTTTTGCAGCATCAGTAACAAGAGAGGTGCCAGAGCAGCTATGTTTTGAATTTTTTTTACTTTAATTTGCACTAAGTTACATGCCAGCCTCAGCTACAGGTGACTGAGCTAAGTTGAAACCTGTAGCATGAGATATAAGAGAACTAGTCACGTGTAAAAACACCATGTAATTAATATCTTGTTTTAAAGTAAATGAGCACTTTGGTGATCAACAGTACAAGCAAAATTGTTTCTATTAGATTTGTACTTCAAGGAGTATTTTGTATTAAATGAAAGATAGTTTTTATTACAATTTCATTAGTATAATTTTATGCCTTGCCTTTATTTCAGTCAGGGCATATGTCAGAGCTCTTTCTTTTACAGAGTTATCTATTTCCATGTTAATGGTAGGAATCAGTTCATGGTTTCAGCTCTCCTTTATATCTGCCTAGAACTGCTCAGCAGATTCAGAAGTTAATAGATGAGGACAGGTGGATAAGCAAGAAAATGGTGTCCTGACATAAATACTGTTTTCTTAGGAGAAAGGCCAAAAACTAAAGGGAGTAAGGCAGCTGAGTAGGGAATGTGTAAAAAGGGAAATAGGATTTCTGAGCTCTAGTTGTGGCTCTCTTCATATGTAACACTACCCTTACATTTCAGTGAGTCACCCAAGGGTATGATTTCCATACTTACCAATTGCTTTATTGAACAGGGGCTTACATGTGAGTATGAAGCTAAGCATACACCCTACTGAGATGGCACCTTTCTACCTTCCTCCTTTGTGAAAAAAGGGTATGGTTACTTACCGTCAAATTTTGCTGTGCACTTCTGTTCATAAATAGCTTCAAAATCATCCAGAGTACCTATTAGTCAACCTGGATACAGCCCCAGCTTTCCAAGGAAGTCAAACGCTGATGATCTGGATATTTGCCTGAATTTGTTCCCAATCCCTATGTTTAGAATAAATAATTACATTAATTACCAGAATAGATTAGTAATATTTGTTCACAGAGTTTACCTTATAATCAACTAAGAGAATCTATCATCAAATATAACTTGTTTTCTGATTACCTTAATGCATCATTATTTATCAGTGCAATCAGTGCTATTCCAGTAAATCTTTCAGTACTCCTCAGTGTACGTTTTGCAAAAGTGGTGCCAAAACCAAGTTCTGCATTTTTCCCTTTCAGACTGGCAATGCCTCTAATAAAAATAAAAAATAACCCCCAAAACTCTTTTCATTGTTCAATCCCCAGGTTTCTGGGTATCTATACTTTCTCTGCTGATGTGTTGTAAGGCAGCGGTGAAGTGCTCTAACTCTGTTTCCTTTTCACCAGCAGAACATTCGATGAGTTGCGTTCACTTTTAAAAAGTGCTGTGGCAGGAAGAACATGTCTAGAAAATATCAGTGGTTCTGTTGTGTCAGTAATGTGACAGCAGGTATAAATGCACAGCAAGAACGGCCAGAAAATATCCTGACATTCATCTTACTTGACAAGCTTTATAGCACAAATGAAAGAATATCACTCAGTAATTCCTGCCATAAAGGAAATTATTATTTGCTTCATTCTATTGTGAAGTCCTACCTCACACAATAAATTTTATATTCACTTCCTGCTGATGTTTATGCTGATCTTTCCTTCATGGTCTATATCTCTCATTCTATTTTTACCAGTATTTTCATCTCCATTGTCATGTTTCAGTTTCAGACCACTTCAGAACTATTTCTCCCAACAACAGCTTCTACTTTACCCTTTCCTCCTCTGGTTGCCCTAGCACAGAGCATCCTGGTACAGAGGAAGGAGGCAATGAATATGCTCTGAGTAAGAACATGCCACAAATCAGACACCAGAGCAAGTTTCCTTTGAGAGGAACTGTAAATTGTTAATGCTCTCAAAGTAAGTTAAATGGTCCTGGATAGGGAAAAGTCACTTCTTTAAAAAGCTGCAAAAATTACTATTCCCATATGGGCCATTCACTTAAGAGTTAGAATTATATAATAGATTGGGTTGGAAAAGACCTCCAAGATCATCAAGTCCAATCCCTGATCCAACTCTAATTACTATATCATGGCACTAAGGGCCATGTCCAATCTCTTTTTAAAAACTTCCAGGGATGGTGAATCCACCACCTCTCTGGGCAGGCCAATTGGACTTGATGATCCTTGTGGTTCCTTCCAACTCAGAATATACTGTGAAACTTAAAGTGCGTGGATTCTTAGAGGAAAAAAGATGGACTGGGGGGGAGGGTGAAGGAAAGGGGAAGTAGATCCCTTCTTAAGTTCTTGACAACTTGCATACTCATTTGTACCATGGACAAAAACTGAATTTGTAATCTGTGTTGAGAGAAGACCCGGCTTCACCTGTTTCTGCATCCTTTGCCATAGTAGAGACTTAGTGTCATGATGGAGCAGTCTAAAGAGAGGCAGGTGTTCACTATAGTTTTATGAGCAAAAAGGCTTTAAAGCAGAGGGTTACTAACTTCTAAACCAGAGATAAAAAACCTCTGAGGCACTGAACTAATTGCATTATGAATCTGTGATGGAAGAAAAGTTCATACGAACAGCAGCGTGTCTTGACTCCCCTGCTTGCTTCACAACTGTTACCCATAACATTTTCAAAATTAAGCATGTACTTTTCTTTGCGAAAAAAAAGTTAAAAAGTTATTTGGGTCCTATGCTAGGCTTTTTTTTTTTAATATATATTTTCTATTCCTCCATCCCTGAGAAAAGAAGACCAGTGTTACATTCTAGAAGCTTTATTACAAGCTTTAAAAATGTCTTAATATTAGCAGGAAAAATACTTTACAAAGGAATAAATGCATACAAATTAGTGCTACTGAGTCCCATCATCCATAAGTGCACAGATGAGACCAGGAAAAGCAAGTGTCACTGGCTACCACCTTGTTCCTGAGAAGGAGCAGCATTTCTGCTGGTTTTCTTGGGAAGGAGCTGGGGAAGGATATTTGGCATAACCCCGCCTTGAGCAATGGTCACACAGGCACAGAACTTGTCCAGCTCATTGTCCATTCTCACAGCCAGCACAATGTGCCTGGGCAGGATCCTTTTTTTCTTGTTTTCACGTGCAGCAATCCCTGCCGCCTCCAGGACCTCTGCTATCATGTACTCAATTACTGCAGTCAGGTAGATGGCAGCGCCAGAACCAATCCTGGCAGCGTAATTCCCTCTCTGGAGGAGTCTATGGACACGACCCACAGGAAACAGCAGACCTGCCTTCACTGATTTGCTTCTCCTTGATGCAGTTCCAGGTTTGTCAGCCACTGCTTTTTTCTTTCCTTGTCCAGACATTCTGATGGGTGAGGAGACACAGAGGGTCAGACGTCTTCAAAATAGACAGGTTCTTGGGCTACAGCTAATGTACAGGAAGAGGAGACAACAGAAGGTCAGTTACCCTTTCTCCTCTTCCACATCAAGAAGAAAGCTCATTCTTTTCTTGAAGAAAGAGCACACCACAGTTCATCAATGGCAGAGCTAAAATTTTAACTTCTAACCCTTTTACAGCCTGCCTTTTAGGAGAATGGCGTATTGAAGTAGATATGAAGAGCTCAAAAGAAGAGAGACTTTACCCTGCTACTTGGGAGGTATTTGGAATTGAGGCACAAAGTGTCATCCTCAGTAAGATTTTTTTTTAGACAGTTACCTCAAAGCTAACTTGAGGCCAAGCCTGCCTCTTCTTACAAAACTAATTTGTATTCTAACTTCTACTATCAAGTTACATATTCCTTTCATTTTAAATCTAACAACTGAAAAATTCCTGCAGCCCACAGCATCTTATGCCCTAAGCATTCTAAGGTATTTTCAAACAGAGTACTAAATTAACTCATCAAGTGGTATTCTCTGGCAGCTATGAGAGTACTACTGGAGGTGTTCTGAACTAGGAGGACAAATTGACTTTGACAGCACAATGCAGACTGAAGAACAGAAACTACCAGCTGCATCATTAAGACAAATGAAATTCAGCCCATGAATGGGAGGGGAAAAAAATACTCATTTAAATAACATGTCTAGTCTATGAGTAAATAGGACAGTTAGCTTCTACCACAGCTGTTTGCAATACAAAAGAACATCCCTAGATTATTATGTGAGATTTTTTTGGGTAGTTTTTAGGGAGAAGCTTAAATATTTCAGAAAAATCAAAAAAAGCTTTGAGTGGAAAGGAAAAACACAAACCAAAAGCCAGCCCCTAAGCAGCTCTGGCAAACCAAGCCACAACTCCTTATGCCTATTACCAGATAATTTTTCCTCTTGGATTTCTCACCGTACAGACATGCTGTGCTATAAAAGCAACTTATAAAGTAGCATGAAGTCCACAAGAAGCCCAAATATTTCACAGTGCATTATAAATTAAAAGTATAAATTAAAAGTATTACCTTCAAAAATTCTTATTTTGGCCTAATCTGTGCCTTGCTGCAGCCTGCCCTCAACCACAAACAAGTCACAAACATCACTCCTTCTACCCTTGGAGCTAACCTTTTATATGAGCAACTTTTTCTCCTCATCAGTGGGTCACCTGGATAATGACTGAATCATTTGCACATGTGCTTCATCTTTCTTCACCTACCTCCTGATTTGCGGGAAAAGGAAGAAATACATTACAGCTGCTCAGAAGAAAATTCTCTGGAGTGAGGGGGAAGAAGGCAGGTTTTTTTCCCAGGGCTGAGCCACATTTATGTTTCAGTCTCACGGTGACATTGTCATCTCTCACCCATTCTGGCTGGAGTATTTCTGTCTGAACACCATGTGTAAAAACAGTCTTCTCCTTCCTGCTGAAGCTTGATAAAAAGAGTACATAGAGAAAATGGGCTTTATAAATACGATGTATTTTTAGTTGGGTGGGAGGGAGAAACCATGTATTGCTTTATGTGTGTCCTGGGCATAGTTATGCTTGGTTCACATTGTGTCTGAGCCCCACCAAGTGATGGGATGTGGCTGCTCCTAAGATTTAGGCTTCTGTCCCCTCTCCCAGTAACTCACAGTCCCAAATGGGGCACAGGGGTTATTGTGGGAACAGGGGAGCCCTGAAGCTGAGGGTGTTTGGCTAGTTCCCCTCACTTCACCTGGGCAAAAATCTCACCTAATGTAAAGGAATATTTTTTAGCATCTTTTAAAAAATGAGTGCTCATTTCTGCTCATGCTCTTTTGGTGTTTGTTTTTTGGCATTCAAAATAGGTTCCAACCAGCAACATACAAGAGCCATGGGTGCGAACAGTGTATTAGTCACAGAAGGTGACTATTTAAACCAGCAGATCCTCCTGAAAGCCTGGCTCTGGCAAACCATTCAGACAGCAAAACTGGCACTGACAGCTCAGCCTTAAGTTCTGCGTGCCAGGTACTAACTGTGGGCAAGAACTTCACAGAATCTGTATTTGTGGCTGCATGTATCACTCATCCACTTTTCCCACAAGGATAAGCATTTAGTCCAAGCTGAGTGAGGTTGAGTTTCCCACCGCCTCAGGGCACTAAACAACTGGTAAGGCACACCCTCTGCAAATGCAAATACTCGCTATAAGGACTGATATCCCCTCAAACCACAGTTGTTTGTTTCTTCTAATTCAGAGACATAAAAGTTGGCTGTGCCTTCCCTTCAGTAAGCCAGTCTTAGCACAGGCTAAGTGCCCCAGTAGACTTCAGGATAGCTGGATTTTAATGAGATGCCCATGATGTTATAGCATGCTGCAGTAGGACTTCAGAATTTTCATTTCAGATCTTTGTCAGACTCGTTTCTCCACATGCCCAGAGCAAACAAACTCTTAGAGTGTGCCTGCTGGGAGATTATGTGGAGTTCTTTTCTGAGGACTCAGAGCTGGGCTCCCCCTTTCTGGGTAAGCATGCTGTCCATTGGGATAGAGCATAAAAAGAAGGGAAGGGAGGTGGGAGCAGGTCTCTTCCCTCCTCTCCTCTTCTGCATGTTTTTGAGAAGCTCAAAAGGTCTGCTAAATTCTTTGAAAGGGCAGAGGTGCCCATTTGTGTGGAATGGGGTGTTGATTCCAAGTGGATTGGGGTCACCACACTCAACGCACTCCTCAGTGTTTCCTGAGTAATACTTTATATGGACTCAAAATAAAAGTAACTATCTAGAGACAAATTCCTTGTAATGCTAATTAGCTATGACCCAATCCTAACAATATTTTAAGTACTTCTAATTACACGTTTTAAGAATAGATAATATAGGCTTGATTGCATATTTTATTTTATTTTTTACCAGACCAGGGAAAGAAAAATAAGAGAAAAGCCAATGGAAAAATAAAACAAGGGATGAAATGCGAACAGATAAAAAGAGGCTCAATGAAGTGGAAGGAGAAGAATCACAGAATGGAGGAGGTTGGAAGGGACCACAGTGGGTCAGCTGGTTTAACCTCCCTGCTCAAGCAGGGTTGTCCTAGAGCACATTGCACAGAATTGCAACCAGACAGTTCTGGAATATCTCCAGTGAAGGAGACTCCACAACCTCTCTGGACAACCTCTTACAGTGCACAGTCACCCGCACAGTAAAGTTCTCTCTCATGTTCAGGTGGAACTTCTGTGTTCCAGTTTCTGCTCATTGCCTCTCATCCTATTGCTTGGTGCCATTGAGAAGAGCCCGGCTGCATCCTCTTGACACTCTTCCTTCAGATACTGACAGACATTGATAAGGTTCCCTCTCAGTCACCTCTTCTCAAAGCTGAACAGGCCCAGCTCAGTCTTCCCTCTTACGAGAGATGCTCCAGTCCCCTAATCCCTTTCGTAGCCCTCCTGGGCCTGCTCCAGGAGCTCCATGTCTCTGTTGTCCTGAGGAGTCCAGAACTGGACAGAGCACTCAAGACGTGGCCACAGGGCTGAGCAGAGGGGCAGGATCACCCCCCTCGATCTGCTGGCAATGCACTTGCTGATGCACCCCAGGATCCCACTGGCCTTCCTGGCCCCGAGGGCACACTGCTGGCTCACGGACAGCTTTGTCCACGAGGATCCCCAGGTCCTTCTCCAAGGAGCTGCTTTACAGCAGGCCGGCCTCCAATCTGTGCATGTGCTTAATCCTCCCGAGGTGCAGGGCTCAGCCCTAGCCGCATGACTCCACCCAGCCACACGCCGCCGGGACCAGCCTTATTAGGCGGTCCGGGAAGCGGCAGCGGCGCTGAGCCCGCCCTGCCGGGGAGCGCCGCCTACTCCGGCTGCGCCGCGCACGCCGAGACCGGCCCTGCTCGGCCTGGCCTTACACCCCGTGCCCCTCAGCGGGCCCCGGCCCCGCCGGCAGGATGCAGGTGAGCAGCCGGGGTGCCCCCGCACCCGGGTCGAGTGCGGCCGGAGCTGGGGGGAGCCCGGCCCGGCCCAGGGCTGCGGCCGCGCTCTGGCCTCGGGCCCCGCCGGCAGCCACGGGCCGCCCTCAGCGGGCGAGTGTCCCGGGGTGGGGCACCCCGGTTTCGTCCCCTTTCTAGGGGCGGAGGTGGCGGTCGTGGGGCGGTCTTGCTAGGAAGCTCCGTGGCTGGTTTTGTGGTGGTTTGATGATTTTTTTTGCAAGTGCGATACCTAGTTCGCTGCTGTAGTGAGCGGGTGCGCGTCTCAGGCAGTGCATCGGTATGTTGCTAGTCGATAGTAGGAACAGTGAAATGCCGTGTTGAGGGAAAATGACCACAGTCAGAGACAGAAAAAAAATAGTCTGGTGTTCTGGGGTTTTTTTTGCCCTACTTTTTTTTTTTTTTTTTTTTCCTTTACTCCTCCCCTCTGCCCCACGGCCTGTAGTCTGTGAGTACTGGGGTTTGGTCTGAGCAGAGATGTGGTTATATAGTTGTGAGCAGATCTATTGTAAACTATACTGATACAAGTCACAGCAAAGCAGTAGGTGTGTTCAGTTTTCAGAGTGGTTAGGCTAAGACAGTAAGGAACCACAATCAGCCTGTGGATGCTTATCACTGAGATTTCATGTATTTAAAAAAATAAAATTGCTGTCTAACTTGGAGAATCTCCTGCTGAGTAACTCAACAATACTCAGGTACCTATTAACCTTGTTTTGCGGGATTATTTCAACTATTTTACAGTCAAGTCTTTCTTTAATTTTCAGGAGTAGCGTAGCCATAGACTTAGATCTGATTCCCTAGCAATGGACTTGGCTGGCAGAGACTGTGCTTACTTCCTCTAAGCACTTAGGTGGTCCCAGTGGCTTGAATCTGCCAAGGAGATATGCTGAGAATTAGGTCTGGTCTCTGTGTGTCTTGTCACTAGTGCTTCCCAATGCAACAACCATTGCTTTGGAGGCCTGTTCTGCTGAGGCTAAGTGAGCCTTCTGCTCAGCGTACTTCCCTGTCACTCAGCTA